GAGGAGAACTAACAACAAAGATAAAACAAGACGCGTCATAGGAGGGTTCGCCGATAGGAGGCTCGAAAGCCAATGAATATGATTGAAAACATCAATGTCAAAATTAATCAAGGTAACCAAATGGCCTGAACCTAAGCAGTTCGATCAGTCGCCAAGTATATCGGGATCCAGAACATCCTCTCAATGGAACCAAGCCAAAGAGAAAAACTAATCCCTTAAGCCTTACAATTCCCTCTGAGGTATTTAGTAGCCTCCCTGAACGTTATCAATAATTAATAATTAGTGAGATGAATCGCAGTCACTCCCTGGGATCATTTTGTCCAAGAGCAGCTACGTATCGAATTACAACGATTCAGTGGCTCTGCTCAGTGGCTTTGCACAGTCGAAAGGAGTTCCTTATGAGGGATTGTGAGCCAATGGTCAGATCTGATCAATTGATTGATTCCACTTAGTCAACCAAGCCAAACTTACCAAAAGTTTACTAGTAAGAACTCAGCTAACCAAAATCATCAAACAAAGCTGATCAGTAGTCTTCCCAAATCAAGTTGATCGACGAGCTTCTCTAGCTTAGTTTACCGGCGACACCTGTCCATCTGCTCTCCATTCTAACCAGTCGAGCCTTATAGCTGCCAAGCTCTAGCCCCATGTAGGTAAAATACATATAACTGCTTGTACAATCCTTATTAAAGCACGAACACATATTTAAATTCACACATGACACAAGTATTCTCAGATAACATATTTGGCCTCACCACATCTATAGTAATTGGTTGGACATAGATTCCCTAACCAAGGCAATATGTGGCGATCACAAATTTGGACTTCCAATCCTTTACCTTATTCTCAACGCCTACCACCCAGAGCTTGGGGCCAAATGAAAGCACTAAATAGCCATCCCAATCAACCTTGAAGCTGAAGAAGTATGAGAATAACATAATCGACTAGGGAGTTTCAATCCACCGGAGGCAAATGACGAAAGTCATGATGATGTCCACTTAGTTTGGCGTAATTTACACAAGAATAATGTCGTAGCCTTTAAGAATGAGCCTCATCTCACTACAGAATGGTAGCCTCAGTCCATAGCTAAATTGATCAATGTAAATGACTAAGTTGTTGTCATAGTTGCTCATATACTTCTCCCCTCTTTCAGCCGCTTTGTGATGAACGTCCGGTTTGAAGGTGAACTACTGGAACAAGGCAAACACATGCCTATGTGAAACGACTAACAATACGCCAGAAGGGGACATGCCAAAAAGTTCAAAAGATTATACAAAAGACACGGAGAGATGAGAAGAAGAAGAAGGGGAATGCATGAAAGAAAGGAGGATTGTGTGAGAAGATATATGTCTATTTCATTGACTTACAATTTAAAATAGAAACTGAAATGTCACAAGGGTGATAGTGTATCTTTTCCACATCAAAGGCCAGGAAAAATGTTAAATCAAATGCACGTATCAAGAAAATAATATAACATGCGAAAACGAATAAATAAGACACGGTTGTCACGTTTATGAGAAATAAAATATATTTATGTTGCCTCAATTGGGACATATCTTAGCTGGGATAGCTACTTGAACATTAACTCTCCACCCATTCCAACATTGTCCACCCTATTCATTTAAGCATGCTGATGGAAGATCAAAAGTTCTCAGAGGATTTTGGTTAGCTTAGCCTTCATAAGATCGG